GTGCCGTTCACACTGTCACACCATGATCGGATATGGGTCGCATAGGGTCAAGAAAATCGGATTTGATGCGCTTTCGCCTGCAGTGTGAACGTAGCCTAAGTTTCAGGGATCCAATTTAGATAAAGACTTAAAAGTAGAAAGTATGTGTTCGGCTGTAATAACATCCACAAACAACGATGCAGCAGGTTCACTAACAAGAGGGTTTGTGGAGAATACAGCAGACGTTGTACGATAATGTCAACATTTCAACTTTTTTAACAAAATAGAATTTTGACTTTATTCTCAAATTATCAATAATTATTTATTTATTTATTCATTCATTCATTCATTCATTGTGTGGCCCTAATACACTGCAGCAGTTTTTAGTTTGTATTGAGGGGCTTTGTCTCTGATTGTTTTCAGTTGGGTTTACTTATTTTTTTACCTGGTTTTGTTAGTATTAGATGCTGTTAATATATATTATGTGGATGATTTTTACCAAATGTAAGGATTTTGGAACAGATATTACAGTTAAATCTCTTCACTCCCGCTCAGACGTCTCAGTCTCAACAAATATCTGCTCCGGCGCCTCCTGATGCTTGTAAAGTTCACAGATTTATCAAATTACCTAAAAGCTGAAAGTAAAATAACCACGTTTAACTAAAATGTCTTTTCACAGCTGTTTTAATCTTTTTGTATTTGTTTTATTTCGTCTTTCTTGTGTGTTTGTGACATCTACAGGTGACCTATAAGAGTAATACTAAGCAGCCCGTCTACAGTGACGAGTCTCTTCTGGCCAGAACCGACATCCAGCACGCCAAAGAGGTCTCAAAACTGGCCAGCCAGGTAACACGTAGCCTTCCCAGCATGCACTAGTAGCCACTTTGCAAGTGAGCACTATAATGTGTGGTTAAAAGACTTGGGAAAGATACACTCACATTTAACAGCTGATGTCTGTGTTTATCGCTCTCCTGCAGGTGAAGTATAAGGAGAGCTTTGACAGGCAGTTAAAACCTCAGTACAACCCGCTGGAGTGTGTTTCCTTCAAACAAACGCAGGCTGCTGCTGCTCTGGCCAGTCAGGTGAGTGAACCGTGGTCACATGATCAGTCACACACAGGTTGAAGTTCAAATAAAGCATGTGATGATCTTTCTGAATGTAGGTCAGCCTAGTCTAACTGGGTGAGTATGAAAGTGCACCACAAAGGAAAGCTGTGAAAATGCCTGCATGTGTGTGCTGTATAGTTTAGTGTGTCCATAGTTTTCTATAAAATTCCTTGTTTTTATTTTATGCCTAATGGGAAAGCAGTGCAGAGTGGGAACAATATTTTACTCTTTGACGTCTGTGGGCTTCGTTATATTAAAGTTGGGTGTTGTTCAGATGTGGTTGTTCGGCTGGTGAAGCAACAGTGTGGTTTCCCCTTCAGTCGGAAGTCGTCCCACTCTGTTTGAAAAAGGGAATAAAAAACAACTAGATAGTTTTATGGATTACATTAAAGCATTATGCTTTAATGTAATCATTTTAGTTACTTTTTTGAGTATTTGAGTATTTGTGACTCATTCGTCACTTTGGTGGCCTCAGAATCTCGTCTCTGATTTTGCGGATGATGTGGTTCTGTTGGCTTCATCGGGTGA